CCCTGCAGTAAATGTGCGTGGCAAGATAAGGCAGAGTCTGAGCCGTCGAGAGCCACTGAAGAGAGTCCACCCTGACCGGCTGGGCCCAGCAGAAGGAGCTCCTGCCAGGGGACTATGCTGGGCAGCCTGTCTCCTTGAAGATAGGCCCAAGCCAGAGAGCTGGAAGCCAGATGCCCACTAGGGTTGGCAGAGGTGACGTAGGTCCCCAGGGCCAGAGCCGAGCGGTGGGCTCAGGGTAGGGACTAGCTCTGTGGACACTGACACCGAGGCAGAGGCTGAGACTCAATGAGAGTGAACACAAGCAGCTGTATGACGGCAGAGTGAGGCAATACCAAAGGCAGATGCATGCTGGGATTCATCCCCAGCACCTGGACCACAGATGTAAACTGACATGAGGGCCACACCGAAAACGCTACCCTTGCCTTTCAGTTTTGAATATTCTGCAGAGTAGTAACATATATTATGCTTACCAAAAATTGACCCGGTTGGAAGGGCTGTGTTTCTCTTTCAGTATCTATTGATTTTCAGTTACTGTAACTGTTACTATGAAATGGTTTTGTGACTATTGCAGAAAGTTAGGAAATACATCAAAGCGAAATGAAACTAAATGAAGACGTGCACTTCGGCCATCTAGAGATACAATGTTGATAATATTTCCTCTCAGATGGACAATGTGTTTCAAGAGTGAGATTCTGTAAACACCTGAAGTGGCGCTGGACACCTGTAACCCAGTGTTAGGGAGGATGCAAAGGGCGGATCCCAGGGCTCAACGGCCAGATGTTCTAGCTGAGTAGGTGAGCTCTACGCTCCCCGAGAGACACCGTCTCAGAGGGAAAAGGAAGATGGAGAAACTGAGGGAGACACACAGCACCAACCTCAGGCCTCCACATGAATGTACACACATGCACATGTAGATACACACTTACACAGGCACACTTCCATACATGCACACACATGCACATGTAGATACACACTTACACAGGCACACATCCATACATGTACACACACCACATGTAGATACACACTTACACAGGCACATATCCATACATGTACAAATATACACATGTAGATGCACACTTACACATGCACACACATATACATGAACTCACAAATGTCCACATGCATGCACGTGTGCATAGGCATACAAATGCACATGTACACACATGTGCGTGTATACACACATTTGCACACACATGTACACATGTGCATGTGTGATGCTTATACAAGAATAAGACTGCTTGGAATGGTTTTTGCTTACTCCCCTTTTTGTTTTTTATATTCATTTGTGAATTTAAAATTATTCATGTGTGTGTGTGCGTGCGCGTGTGCGCGTGTGTGTATGATGTGTGTGGGAACATTACTTAGCATGCTGTGGGCATAGAGGCCTGAGGACAGTTTTATGGACTGGGTTCTCTTTCCACCCCTGTGTGGCTTCTGGGAGTTGCACACAGCTTGCCAGGCTGGAAGGGAAGTACCTTTACCTGCTGAGTCCTCTCATCAGCCCCTCCCCCCTTCTCCCCAACTCAGCAAATGTTCATGTTCCGACATCCACCCTGCATCCAGATTCTTCCAGTTGTTCCCAAAATCTCTACACAGCATTCTGTCCACATCAGAATCCAGTCCAGGGCCAGCCCTCGCATCTCGTGGCTTGGTCTCCAAAGTCCACTCTAGTTGGCACGGTCTCTTGCTCCTCTAGTATCACGGAGATGACCTCATTCTATGGATCTGTGCCCTTGCCGGGTGCCAGGCGGCGTCTTTACCAACCTGTATCCCTGTAAAGTGTAGGTCAAGCTAAATCTAGGGCATTGGTTCCCGCTAAACGTCCAAGGCTGGGGGAATATCATAGGCATGGTGCATAACTTCTTGGTGTGTTTGTGTGCAGGTGCACATGCACGTAAGCATGAGTGCACACGCGTGTAGAGGCCAGAGGACATGTTCGTCTGGTGCCATTCTCCTTGGCTTCCGTTTTGTTTTGTTTTGAGACGGCCCCTCCCAATGGCATAGGTTTCACTAAGTAGGCTAGGCTGGCTGGCTGGAAAGGATTATAGGTGCACACCACCATGCCTGGCTGAGAGACGGGGGGGGGGTGGGTGAGAGAGAGAGAAAGAGACAGAGAGACAGAGGAGAGAGAGAAGAGAGAGGAGAGAGAGAGATGAGAGTGTATGTGTGTGTGTGTGATATGTGAGTTCACATGCATGTGGGTACAGTGTGTGGGGTAAGTAAGCGTGTATGTACATGTAGAAGCCTGAGGTATCTTCCTCTGTGCCTCTCTCCTCATTAGGTATGATTTCAAAGTCAAACATACATATATTAGCCGGGCATTGGTGGCGCACGCCTTTAATCCCAGCACTCGGGAGGCAGAGGCAGGTGGATCTCTGTGAGTTCGAGGCTGGGCTAGTCTACAGAGCGAGTTCCAGGACAGCCTCTAAAACAATACAGAGAAACCCTGTCTCGAAAAACCAAAAAAAAAAAACCCAGTATATATTTTAGAATGACAAGCCATCTTCAGACGCTTCAGCAATCGACAGAATATGGCATTTGAGATGTCTTAATAATGTAGGTTCTTTTTTTTTTTTGTGTGGCAATGAGACATGTCTGCTTCTGGCAGCACTCACCTACTACAGAGAGGATGATGGGCACGGAATACACTCCACATGGGGCTTGCTTTCTTTGTGGCAAAAGTTAGCCACTGGGTGAGAAGTGCCCTTGCCTCAACTGCTGGCAGCGGGCTATCCAAATTGGACAAACAGGACGCAAAAGAGAGTGACTGCAGAACCTCGCCAAGACAAGGCGGGACAGTCCTTCAGGAAATCCTGCTTCACAGAGGAGTCTGTCAGATGTGCAAGGCCTGTAGGTGGAAGATGTACGCCCCAGCGCTGCAGAGGAACCTTGGGTGACTCTCCAGGCAGCCAGCTGTTTCCGTCATTCCTCACATTTTTGGAGGTCCCTTGCTCCCACTTCCTGCTTATTCAGTTAATATTATTTCCTTCTTGGGTCTCTGAGGGAGCTGAAGACTAGGGAGTTATAGTTTTTCCTTGTTTACCAGACTCAGGAAAGAAACTAAATAGGTGTAAAGCGTAAAGCGCGAAAGGTTGAGAAATACTAAAAGATATTTTGATAGTGCAAATTAGAATAGAAAGTGAATTAGGTACAACCGTTTGCACTCACCAAGATAGGATAATGGGGTATTTTCCCTGAATTTGTTAAACGCAAATGAACCGGACATGGCTGACATATTTATTGCCCGTATGCTGTATACAGTTGTTGTACTTAGTGTATATAGTTTTTCCTCACATTAGTCATAACGTTTTTATATTGGACAAAAAGGAGAAATGGGGAGACATTTTGTTTATGATGTAACAAATGAAGGTTGCCTGAAGTCCAGAGTGCAAAACTCGCCACACTCGTCAGCCATACAGGCCAGGCAGCGGTGGTACAGACCTTTAATCCCAGCAGCCACACCAGCGAGCCGCAGAGGCTGGCAGCGGCGGCGCACGCCATTAATGCCAGCACTAGAGAGGGTTGTGAGGTGGGAAGAGACTCTTACGATGTCTCCACCCCTCTTTAGCTCTCTCTGAACCTTTGGTGTTGGGGCTGTGTGTGGATGTGCCAGGCGGGGTTGAGCACCCTACCCCTTGTAGCTTGCTGCAATGACTCCGTGGGCTGCCAAGAGAAGCTGTTTTGATGAGGGGTGAGAGCTCCTCTTGCCTGTGGGTCATAAGAGTGTCTGTTTGGCATGCAGGGAGCGGTCATACTGGTCTCAGGAAGCGGCAGTAAGTTCTCCAACTTCTATTCTTCTCGGTCACTTTAATGGGCTGCCTAAAGCAGGGAGGAGGTGTTCATTGCAAGAGGTGACACTACCTACCAACTAATGGATGTGAGGCTGAGGGTTTTGAATTCCGTCATCATACCCTCATGGCACGTGCAGTACCCCTCCTTCACAACAACCGAAGTGTGTACCCTCGAATGCACAGGTGGCCTTCGTACCTAGGAGAGGTTCTCTTAACGCTGAAGACAACTCTTCACCGGATTAAAGTGACACTGATGGTTTTTCAGGAACACCCCCACGCTGCCTATTCTGTGCACAATTAAAAGACTTAATGCATATTTTCCGTGTCTAATGTATCTTCTGAGGTTTAAAGACTAACAGGTGACAAATAAAAGACCTCCCTTTCTGGTGATGAATTTTAGCGCAGGTGCGAGGTCAGCTTTTTGAGTCTGTGCAAATCACTTATGATGTGCAAGACATGATGATGAAATTGAGAGAGTCCGTGATTTCGTTTCCCTACTCCCAAACCTTCTCCTCCTCTCCTATCTCCATGCACGTTCTGGTAACTTAAGACTGAATGCTGCATATCTGGGGTTAACACAGTCATCCCCCACCCTTAGCAGAGTCAATCAGGAACTGAGGGCCTTGCAGCGTTGCGGGCAGGCGCTGTGTAGGTAGTCCTACAGGGCTTGCACGCACCACCATCTGTGTAACTATGGAGCGGTGGTTAATAGAATCACAGCTTCCCCAGGGGACTGGAGTCTGATCTCCAGCAACCGTGTCCGGTGTTGGTAACTAGCTCCAGGCCAGACCCTCCGCAGGCTCTTGAGCCTGTGTGAACATGCATTTACACACAATTGAAAGCGTTTTTATAAAAAAAGAAACGAGTCTTTAAAAACCTATGTCTTGTGATAGAATAAATAGCATTTGTGCAGTGTTCACACTGTTATTTATGTGATATCTCACTGCTGGCATTATAAGTAATCTGGATGTGTAGATTATGCAGAGGGGGAGAGTACGTGTGTGTATCATGTGCAAGTATTTATGCCATCTTCCAGGAGACCAGATACCACAGGTTTGGGTATCGGACGGAATGCTGGCCCACTGACCTTCTGTTACTTTTGTGAACGCTCATGGGCTGGGATCTCTCAGGGCAGGAGGGGTGGTTTTGAGTTCTATCCATCAAGCACTGCAGATAAATACTTGTTTGCCCTTTGTGTTTTTTTCCTAGAATTAGCAGAGTCTCCGTCGGATGATCAGGACTATGGTGAGTCAGTCTGAGTGTCAAGTTAGTTAAGACTCTTTAATGACAGTCTCTCCGGGAAGAATCATTTCAGGTTTTTTTTTTCTTTAAAACCTGTAGATAACTAAGTGTTTGTTTTGGGGGAAGGAATCCTGTCCTGGCTTCTTCTTGAAGTGAGAGTCTCTCGCTGTGCAAAATTGTTGTCTATTAAAAATCAATATAATTCTAAAACACGATTATATATATGCATTTTCTGTCTCTGTTACCAAAGAACCTCTATTGTCTTTGCGCGCTTCATCTATTTAGATAGCGTGCCCAGTTTCAAGTTTCCTTTCCTTAAATTTCTTAGTCTGGTCCCCTATGATCCTGCAAGTCAGTAGTCAAAAACACTTAAGAGGCTATTTTGCAAATTTTCTAACTTTCAGAATGGGAGAAAAAGACGAAAGATGATAACACGAAACAGTGGAGGCCAACCTTGTCACCAGAAGCCAGTGAATTACTCCAACTTGAAATGTACCGTGAGCCAGAACGTTTTACTGTTCAGTCATGATTGGAGTTTTGCTTTCATTCATAAATTTTAACCTCCCAGTTAGGAGAAAGCAATTAGGTCTATAATAAAAATCCTCATCTTTCTGACAAGGGTTTTGACATAAATGAATCAAGGACGAATGAGTACTCTGTCTTGGTTATAAATAGCCTAAGGAGAGAGGGGACCACTGAGTGAGTTCTCCTTCTATAGACAGGACTCCAGGGAAGGGCCAGGGGAGCTGATGCCTTGAAACCCTGACTTCCTTCTCCCAGCCCCATCATCGCAGCATGCTCTCAGCTCCTAGGAGCATATCTGTTGCTGGGGAAACAGACCCTGAGAGCATGATGCCCAGAAGTCAACGATGTCTGCCTGCACAGCATGGCATTGATTGCCACTTGTCTTTTCTTTTTGAACCATTCCCTTAATATTTGTACTCCCTTTTAAATAGAGTACATTTTAAAAACAATGTTACACAAAGCTTGAGTGCGTTAACATTGTGGGTAAAATTAGGTCAATCGGAGCGTCGAGGGCCTGCCAGTAGAGCTTAACCAATAGGAATATTTCCAGTAGACTCAGGGCTGCCAGAGACTCACTGATAGCCCTCATGGCCAATTAAAAATATCAATAAACCGATCTTTCTTTCTTCGGTTCTTTCTTTTCTTTTTTTCCTCCATAGGTTCTCATGTAGCCCAGACTGGCCTTGAACTCACGATATTAAAAAAAATGTTTGCCTTGAACTCCTGATCCTTCTGCCACTACTTCCCGAACACCAGGATCACAGATCTGCGTCATCGTGTTCCGTATACCCTCCGATGGGAGAGGTCACTTTCACCCTAAGGCTGGTACCCGCACCAACTGTTCCGCCACTGTCTCAGCATAAACACGCCTTCATTGGCTGGTTAACAATGAAGAGACTTCAGCCTGGTGTGATTACCCCGTTTCTTCTAGGAGCCTGCTGTATGGCCTGACTTCTCCTCCCCTGTAGGCCCACTGAAGGGCGACGTGTGAACCCTTCACGGAGGAGAACTCCACATTACTTCCTCCTCCAGTATGGATGGAGTTTCTCGTCCCTCCTGGTCCTGCAGCCGTTTGGCCCCAATTAAACCCACTGACACATATTACTATAGACTGTCTGGCCAATGGCTCAGGCTTCTAACTGGCTAGCTCTCTCTTAACTATTAACCCATTTCTATTAATTTTATGCATTGCCGCCAAGCTGTGGCTTACCCGTAATCGAGCATGTTGCTTCTTCGGCAGCGTGGCGTCTCCCCGGTGGCCTCTCTCACCTTCCTCTTCCCAGAATTCTCCTGGTCTGGTAGCCCCATCTATGCTTCCTACCTGGCTGCTGGACAATCAGTGTTTTTATTCATCAACCAATAAGAGAAACATATATACAGAAGGACATCCCCCATCACTCCAGAATTTCCTTTCTCTCTTTAGTCTTGGGAGCTAACATAGTCAGAAGTGTATTGTCTTGGCTTCTCTAGTTTCATGCCTCTGACTTTTCTCTTTTCTCTGTTGTCTCCTCCTCTGCATGGCCTCTCACATGAAGAAACCGAGCACCGGGTAACTCAGGTTATATTCTTTCCTAGGTGACTCCGTCAGGTCCTGAGGTTTTATGCAGCCATGTGTTTAATAGTAATTCCTAAATTTATCCCCAATCCAGTTTCTCTTTCTTGATCTAGATTTGTTTATTCACCTCCATGTCCCCCAAAACTCATGACTGGACTCATCTGCTATCTCTGAAATGCCATGCCTCACAGCTTTTCTACACCAGGTCAAGGCTCTGGGGTCACGTGGTTGACCACTACAGCCTGCTCTAAGTCAGTGTCCTGGTGTCACATAGGTGACTACCACAGGCTCTTGACTTCTTGGCTTAGAAGCAACTATTGCCTGAATGGGGTCTGCTTCCCTTGGAGCCATCAGATGACTCTTGAAGTCAGGATGAAAACACAGTCAACAGCCGACTGCTATTTAGATTTTTCACAGCCCAAATGGGAATAGGTTAGCATTACTTTTTTCTTTAGTTGTACTTTACTCAATTTCAGCCTGTTAATATATAAATATCAGCAATCACAAGAGTAAATCTATTAGCTTAGTGTAGAACATGCCATCTTAGACATTGGCCATTGGCCTTATTCTTTGATACTGATATTTAATATCTGTCTCAACATTAGAATATTTTGACCTTGTTGAGAACAGACTTAATACACCATTTTTAATGAAAGAAAGAAGAAAAACAGACTAGATGGCTTGTATCTTTAGTATTGTTAGTTTTATGTCATCATAACTTTATCTACCCTAGCCTAATTTTATGTGGATCAAACGGTATTTCGCATTGAGTGTCCTCATTATCAAAATGCCAAGGTTAAAGTCTTCTATAATTTTAATTACTCTTCTGTCCCACTCAATCACTATGTCAGTGTTAGCTGTAACTATAGCAATGAAAGATTGTTGTTAAATAGATTTGACTGCAAGCTTAGCCTCGTCCCCAGGAGCCAGCGCAAATGCTAAGGAAAAGGACGTACTTCCTGAACTAATTCAGCTTTGCGAGGCTGACTTCTGGTTCATCAGGGAAGCCCTCTGCCTTTTATCTTTAAACATTTATTCCATCAGGCAATACCGCCTTAAATCTGTTGGCACAAAATGTGATCACAGATTCCCCTTCTGTGTGATAAGAGACCTTTAGAAGACTTAAGTAATTAAAAAATACCTTTTTGTGCAAAAAGGGACCCAAAGCTCTACCTTGTTTTTCCATCTAAGATTCGGTATACAGACGTAGGTATCAATGTCTTCATGTATGTGTTTCGTTTGGTCACACGTTGTCACTTTGTCACAGCGTGGCTTTGCTCTGGGTGAGTTAGGAACAGAGCATTTTATTGCAAGGCTCAGAGGTCAGGAATGTGTTTAAATGAAAATGGGTGGGGCTGGAGTTCATTATGTTAAGTGAAATGGGCTAGGCTCAGAATGACAAATGATGTATGCTATCCCACCTGGGATACATAAGTAAACACATATATGAATATTATGTACGTAGCTGACATGAAAGACCATCGATGAGACTATGAAATGAGAGAGAGAAGCGGAAGGAGGGGGACAAGAGAGGGGGACAGTATGTACATGTCATGGAAGCAGGGGAGGGGACTGTTGGAGGGTGGGAAAATGAACCAGCAGCAGGGAGCGACGATTGAGGGAGGTAGTGAGGGTAAATAAAAACAAATCGTGTGTGTGTGTGTGTGTGTGTGTGTGTGTGTGTGTGTGTGTGAAGAGATCATGAAATTGATTTCTTTGTGTGATAATAAAATAATAAATTCTAAAATTGAGGTCAAGAACATGCAAATACACATGTGTATTACATAGACAATGCTACCTGTGGATTTTCAAGCGTGAATATTGGCCATCTTTGCAGCAGCGGGACATGCTTGGGAACATGGGAATAGTCTGATAAGCATGCTGTCCGAGCCTGAGTCACACCCAGCTGCTGAGGGGACAAAAATTGCTATAAAAGAGAACTGTTTTAAGTAAAGAAATTCCAATAAGTAAATAATTAAATTGACATTCCTTCTGTGGTGGCTATTCTGCTACAGACGAATGTAGTCTAAATGCCAGCCTGAGTACAACGGTTGCAGCATGTCTTTCCTTTGCCAAGCATGGACGCTTTGCTTGTAACTTTAACTTTCAGGTTCCAGGCCTGGCTTAAAGCTCCAGGATGGAGTCCGGAGAAGCAGACTTTCCCCACACATTGAAAGATGCCCTCACACTACTCTGGAAAACTCTAACCTAGTGAAATAGTTTTTAACTATTATTTTTTAAAATTAAATTATAGTTTAAAATTTTCTTTTATTAATATTTAATGTACAAAGTAATGGATTTCACTGCCTCTCTCATACATATGCAGCATTACATTTTGTTCCCACCCACCTTGCCTAGCCCAGAATATTCCCTCAAATAACTTTGAAATTTTATTTATTTACGTGTGTGCATGTGCATATGTACGTGTGTGCACCGTGATTCATACGCAACCTGGACCAGCAGGTTATTCTTCGGGGACAGAGGTCCCTGAGTGGGAGGACTGGGGGTGAGGAAATACAGAAGATAGGGAAGTTAACATCATGGATGTCTTGCATGAGCTGATGACTTATGCCAAGCAAGTCTATTAATAAGTGTGACATCTGATGCCCCATTTGCAGGGGGGAATGGAGCGGAGTCAGCGGAAAGCCACGACACAGTGAGACAGTCAGCAGGAAGCAGTCAAGCACAGGGAACACAGGGCATCTCAAGTGCACCCCAGCTAGGACGCACAGTGGCCATAGTGGCCTTCAGGCTCACAACCCCGTCTCTCGTGGGGCAGGGGAGTCAGGTTCCCATGAACCAAAACCCTAACTCCTTTGAGGCCTCGGACCTTGGGCAAGGACAGAGAGCTTGGCTCCCTTTGTCCTTTCCCGGAGCCTCCAAGAAAGCCTGGGATGTCCTGGCTCCCAACCGTCTAGAGGTC